AGGGTCATGGCGGCGCACTTGAAACAGCCCGCTGGGGGCGTCGAGGCGCCCGCGGCGGCGGAGGAGCCGCGAGTTCTGGAGCCCGGGGCCGCCCGGTTCGGAAATTTCCCCCAGTACTCCCGCTTCCACCCTCCCGAGCAGCGGCTCCGCCTCCTGCCCCCGGAGCTGCTTCGACAGCTCTTCCCTCCGGAGAGCCCCGGCGCGAGGCCGATCCTAGGGCTGGACGTGGGGTGTAATTCCGGGGTGAGTGGCGGACGGAGGTTGGGTTCGGAGGTGAAGGAGCCAAGCGGTTCGCCGCCCTCACCCCCACTAGGGTTCTGGCCCGGGCGCGGCATCTCACTGTCCAAACGTCCCCAACATGAGCTCCTAGGGGGAGCAGTGACAGGTCCCACCCCGCGCTTAAAAATCTTGGGGAGCAGTCCTCGACTACGAGTTCCCACGCGTCCACCCCGCGTTGGTAGCCCCTGCGGCTAACACCCAGTGGAGTGGCGCAAGGTCGGGGAGCCTGGGGTTGGACGGATTTACTGGGAGAGAGAAGCAGGCTGGACCCTGGAACCACACACTGCAGGGCGGCCCCAGTGGGTGTTTTAAAAGCAGTGATTGAATAAAGGACAGTGGAGAGGCGTGAGGAGGAAAATACAGCCTCCTGGTAGAACCCTGGTTCCGTAATGGTTAGGAGTCGGACTGTTAACTGCCAAGTTGGCAGTTCGGAACCACCAGCCGGCCTTTGAAAGGAAGAAAGGGGGCTTTCCACTCCAGTAAAGAGTTACAGGCTAGACGCTCACGGGGGCAGTTCCACCTTGCCCTGTAGAGTCGCTGTAAGTTTGCAGGGGTTTGGGGTTACGTGAAGTATATGCCAAAAACACCCTATGTATAGGGCGACTGGGAGTTGGTATCCACTCCATGATGGCAGTGAGTTTGGTTTTTTTTGTTTGTTTGTTTTTTAGTGAAGGAAGTAGAGAAGGGAAGCAGTACCATGAATGTTTAAAAAAAATTTTTATTGGGGGCTCTTACAGCTCTTAGAATATTACATACATCATTTGTATCAAACATATTTGTACATAAGTTGCCATCATCATTTCCAAAACATTTTCTATTTGAGCCCATCATATAAGCTCCTCTTTTCTACCCCTTCCTCCCCACCCTCGTGAATCCTTGATCAATTATAAATTGTTATTGTTATTTCATATCTCATACTGTCCATTGTCTCCCTTCACCCGCATTTCTGTTATTTGTTCCCTTGGGGAGAGGGGTTATATGTCCAACCTTGTGATGGGTTCCCCCTTTCTCCCCCTTCCCGATCATCCCTCTACCCTCATGATATCGCTACTACTACTACTGTTCCTGAGGGGGTTATCTGTCCTGAATTCCATGTGTCAAGGGCTCTTATCTGTTCTTCGGTCTAGTCAGATTTGTAAGGTAGAACTGGGTCATGGTAGTGGGGGCAAGGAAGCACTCAGGAATGCTCTGATTCATCAGTTCTTAACTGAAAAGGATTCTTAGGCATAGTCATTGTAGTCAAATTAACAAAAGAACAAGATGTCTCTCAGACACCTTTTTGTAGTCCTAGGGTGTCCTAAAGAAGCAGGCAGTCTGACCTTAGGACTGTTGATGCTTCATAAATCCTTATCTGCCCCAATTCACTCCAGAGGCAGGAGGGTGTGGAAACAGATGGATCCACTGTGATGATGACCCAGACGATGGAGGTGGGTCTGAAGGCCGACGAACGCAGTTCCCAAGTACCAGGGGCACTTTGGGATGGATACCAACTCAATGACTGGGTGTCCAGGAGTCCCCGTGTCTCCGCTGTGGCTTGTAGGCAAGGCAGCAGAAAAGAGAGGCTGAGTTTAAGGCGTGGGGTTTCATAGAAGGCCTTAGAAGACGACAGATTTGAAGATTGAACGTAGTACAAAAAACACATTTGAGAAACAAAGACATAGTTGCAGGTAGCTCAGGGATTAGTCTCCCAAACCTAGATGTGCACTTAGGGGAGCTTTTTTAATTTTGCACTTAAAAAAATACATGATAAAAGTATAAATAGTGAAAAGTATGAGGAGGCTTCAAAAAGTTTGGGGAACTGGAATTAAAAGATAATGGAATTGTCCCATCAGCTTTTGGAAGTCCCTTCATAAGCTCCTACTCCTGATCATAAATCTTCCTTTTCACATTCTCATCCACTGTTTGTAATTTCATGGTTGTCCGTACAAGCATTTGTGTGTGTGTAAATACCTGCCTTTAGCTTTACAAATAGTAGCACACTATTTTGAACCTTGCCTTTTCCTTTAAAGGTGTGGAGATGACACATCACTGCATTCTCTTTTTATCAGTGTCACATTGCACTGAGTAGAAAAGCCATAATTGGTGGGGTTCTATCAGGTAAGCATTGGACTGCCAACTGCAAGGTCAATGGTTCAATTCCACCAGCTGTTCTGTGAGAGAAAGATGAGGCTGTAAAGATGTATAGGCCTCACCTTATATAAGGTTACTGTGAGTCAGAATCAATGTGCTGGCAGTGGGTTTTTCTTTGTTTCTTAATTGAAAAGAAAACTTTAACTTGAAAATGCTTCTACTCGAGGCCTACTGAATCAGAACCTTGGGGGATGGACCCTATGAGTCTCTAGGCCTGAGAACTGAGGATGCCAAAGATAAAAGATGTGCTGGGGGAAGAACTGATCTAGTTAGATGATGGATCACACCCCATATAAGGTGGGAAGAGGAAACCATGAAGAAATAAATGGAGATGAGGAGAAAAACCAGTATGTAGTGCCTTGCTACTCACAGTGTGGTTCTTGGACTGCAGTATTGGCATGGCTTGAAAGCTTGTTAGAAATTGAGAATCTTGGCTCCCATTCCAAATCTACTCAGTCAGAATCTTTGTTTTAACAAGATCACAGGTGATTTGAATGGCCACTAAAGTTTGGGAACCTTGGGATAAAAGAAAGAAATCTTGTCAGGTATGACTGGGTAACACCAAGTGCTATCCAGAAGATTCCAACTCCTGGTGGTCCTACGGGACAGAGTAGAACTGCCCCATGGGGTTTCCATGGTTATAATCTTTATTGTAGAAGCAGACTGCCCTATTATCTTTCTCTTGCTGAGTGGCTGGTGGGTTTAAACCGCTGACCTGTTGGTTAGTTGCTGAGTGCTTAACCACTGTGCTAACCAGGCCTCCTGGACATTGGACAAGCATGTCTTTAGAATTTTAAAAATATACTTCAGTTGTGAATGATGTTGTTCATGCCCTCAAGTAAGTTGCCATGCATAACAACCCACCGGACACAAGTCCCTGCCCAGCCCTTCGGTATCCACACCATGGCCATGCTCAAGGCCATTGGTAGAGCCACTGTTGTCAGTCCATCTCCTTGAGGGACTTCTTTTTTGCTGACCTTCTCCTTTACCAATCATGATGCCCTTTGTGTGAGGCCACGTTGACTAGAGAAACAAATCCAGTGACTCGTGTAAGAAAGAGCTTTATATCAAGAAGTAGTTATATATCAAAACAACATCCCAGCCCAGTCCAAATCAGTCCGTAGTCCAATGCTTGTCCCTAATTCAGATACCAGTCCATCAGCCCCTCTTCAGACTCACGCAGCCACCTGCAATGATGCAGAATGCAGGAAGATCCCAGGCCCGCTGGGTGCAAAGTTGTGTGAATCTAACAGCGGTGGCAGGGCTCACCAAGAAGGTGAAGGCAGAGACAGGAGAGGTTCCCAGAACCCTCCTTATGAGAAGGCCATACCCATCAATCAGGTTGTAGCCTTCCCCCACACACACTTTTATGTATCTCTTCAAGTTGACGTGAAGTTATGTAACTACCACACCCTTCTCCAGGGACTGATTTGCCTCCAAAGTATGTGAGGCCAGTTCTCCCCATCCTCCCTTCTAAAGACCCTTCTGACTGTACTTCTTCCAAGACAAGTGGGTCTGTTCCTCTGGCAGCCCATGGTGTGTGCACTGGTACTGCCAACACCAGGATTTAAATGCATCCGTTCTTCTCTCACATGCACTGAGATGGCTGAAAATGCCATGGTTTGGGTCAGTACTGTCCTCAGAGTGACATCTTTGCTTGTAAACACTTTAAAGGAGATCTTTTCTCGTAGATTTACCCAATGCAGTGTGGTCTTTTGAGTTCCTAACTGCCATTTGCTGGCACTGATTGTGGATCCAAGTTAAATGAAACCCTTGACCACATCCGTTTGTTTTCCATTTGTGTGCTGTTGTCCAGTGGTCCGCTTGTGAAGGGGGTTGTTTTCTCTAATGCTGAGGTGCACTGCATACCAAAGCTTAGACTCAGTTTGTCATCACTAGTGCTTTAAGTCCAGTTATGGAATGTGCATACCATAGAGCATTAATGAATCTTCCTCCAACCTTGATGCTGCATTCTTCTTCCTTTCAGATTATATGTCCCTCATGCAGACTGAATAAGGAAGGTGAAACTCCTGCACACCTTTCCTGAGTTTAACCTACTCAGCGTTCCCTTATTCTGTTTGAGTGGCAGCCTGCCTACAGGGTCCCTGTGGATACAGTTATATGTTCTAGAATTCCCATTCTTCTCAGTGTTGTCCTTAATCTGTTAGAATCTACACAGTTGAATGACGGTGCATCGTCGATAAAACATCTTTCTGGTATCCTGCACTTTCTGCCAGGCTCCATCTTCACCTCATCCCATGCCCTCTTCTGAATCTGGCTTGAATCTCTGGCACTTGACATCCTGCTGCTACCATTTTGTATCGTCAGCAAAATTTACTTTCATCTTAGTGGTATGGTTTGATCATTTTTAACATTCTATTGACTCACCTCTCCTTGGAGTGGATGCCAACAGTGGATCTCTTCAGTTGTATGGCCAGGAAGGTGCCTTCCAGATTTGGCATAGATAAGTTGCATCTGTTGAAACATCTCAGTTGGCATTCCTGAAGCCCTGTTTTTTGCCAGTATCTTCAGTGCAATCAGAACCTCTTCCTTCAGTTCTTCAGTTGTGTTCATACAGCTTCCTGAGCTGCTTGAGTGTTGGCCGGTTAGTTGTTGGCGTAGTAACTGTGCATTCCTCATATCTTTTCTGATGCTTCCCGCATCATTCAATCTTTTGCCCATATGGTCCCTCAATATTGCACCGAGGCTGAAATTGTTTTTCTTTAGTTCTTTCAGCTGGAGAACTTCTGATCGTGTGCTTCCTTCTGGCTTTCTAAGTCTTTGCACATTTTCATTGTCATACTGTGTCTCCTCCAGCCGCCCTTTGCATTCTTCTTTTCGGCTCTTGTACGCCATCATTTTCCCCATTTGCTTTAACCACACTACATTCAAGAGCTACACATAGGGAAATGTGTAAACCCACCAATCGTCAGTCTATAGGACTACCGTCCAGGTCAAGAATAAAAGTCCCTCGATGCCTCTCCCTGATCATGAACTACTGACTTTTTAAATTGTTATTTCCCTGCTTTTCTTGCAGCTTGAGTACATTATTTTTATCTCACTAAACACCATAGTTTAACTTGGCCTGTTTTTGAACTTCATGTAAATGGAAGCTTGCCATCTATTATACTTGGTGTCTTGTTTTTCCACTCAGCATTGTGTGTTTGTAGAAGTCATCCATGTTGTTGCACCAAGCTGAATTAACTGTTAAATACTTTCATATTCCATCTTAACATACCACATTTGTGGGTGCTATTGTTATTGGCAAGCCAAATTGTTTCGGGCTTCATTTTCTTCACCTGCTGAAGGGCATAAGTATTTTCCACACGGGATTGTTGCACCGCACAAATGAGGTCATGAATGGAAAATACCATGAAAACTCTTTGGAACCACACAAATTTGAGTTCACTGTAATGGTTATAGAAATCAATGTTAGAAAAAGTAGATGGTGTCTTGCTTAAGAGCAAAAAATGCTCAGATAACGAAAATCATGAATCATTGAGTTTGGCTAGGAGGAGGTCAGCGGTGACTTTGGGGAGTGATGAGTACAAAGGCAGAGTAGGTGCCAGAGGGGCTGGGAGCAAAGTTAAAGCTGCAGGGCTAAGTGTGTTAGTCGGGTAGACGAGAGAAACAAATTCATGGACACTCCTATTTGCATAGGAAAGAGCTTTATATACAAGAACAAATGAGAAAACAGCCCAGCCCAGGCCAGATCAAGTCCATAAGTCTGCTATTAGCCTGTATGTCCGATACTAATCTGTGAAGTCCTCTTCAGGCTCACCAAACATATGCAATGATGCCAAATGCAGGAAGATCACAGGCCAGTGGGTGAAAAGTCTTGTGGAGCCAGTGGCGTAAGCATCTCAGCACTGGCAGGGGGCTCCACGTGGCTTCTCCAGCTCCAGATGCCTGGCTCCATCAGCCTCTCTCCGTGTGTCTTCTCCACAGGGATGTGCTGCAGGGAGTGAGCCGAGAGAGAATGTGTCTTCCACTTCCAAGGAGGAATTACAAGAGTTCCCAGAATCCTCAGGAGAAGGCCATGCCCACACAGAGGTCTCATTGGCTATATCCCGATTGACAGGCTAGACTCTAGCCCTACACTCTTAATCCTCAAATTGACACCAGACTATGTAACTACCACACTGAGGGAGGGCTTTGGTGAAGCCAGATCTTCCCAATTACTGGCCTTAGAACTAGGTTTTTCTCAGATACTTTCTTCGTCACCTTCTTGGCAAGGAACACTAGTTATGCTCTGGGACCCTTCCCTCTGTCCTGGGGTCTGAAGTAATGGTCGCCCCGCCTCCCAAGAAAGGACAGACAAAGGTAGCCCATGAGCTCACACATGACTTCAGCTGGAGAACACACACTGCTTGCAGGCTGGCTCGCAGTCGGTTTCCAGGAAGGACTGGCCCTGTTTGTGGAAGTAGAAAGCCTCACCTCTCCCGCGGTGCAGCTAGCGCTGTCACACTGCTGACCTCGTGGAGTTCACAGCCCAAAGCATAACTCACCACGCCACCAAGACCCTACGCTGCCATTTGGTTTTTGTTGTTAGGTGCCAACTAGTCGTTCTGACTCACAGGCTCCCGGGGTACAGCCGAAGTGATGGATTACAGCCTGTGACCCCTGGAGGGTGCTGAGAACCTGCTCTTGGGGACAGTTTCACGTGACTTCCTCCTGTCTGGTTTAGGAGCCCGCCTCCTAGCCTATGAGCCCCGAGCACCATCTCTTCCATCCCCTGGTTGAGAGCTGCAGTAACCAAGCCCTTTTGGATCCCCCTAGGAGCTGAGTGTGGCACTGTACAGCCACTTCCTCTCCCTGCGAGACGGGGAGGCCTGCTCAGACGCCGCCGCCGGAGAGCTCCGTCTCCTCTGCTGCGACATCGACCCAGTCCTGGTAGAACGAGCTGAGAAAACATGCCCTTTCCCTGACGCCTTGAGCTTTGTTACCTTGGACTTCATGGATCAAAGGACCCGGAAGGCTCTCTTGAGCGCTTTCCTAGCCCAGTATGGACGCTCCGTTTTTGACATTGGCTTCTGCATGTCAGTAACCATGTGGATTCACCTGCACCATGGCGACCAGGGCCTGTGGGAGTTCCTGGCCCACTTCTCCTCCCTGTGTCGCTACCTCCTCGTGGAGCCGCAGCCCTGGAAGTGTTACCGCGCAGCCGCCCGGCGTCTCCGGAAGCTGGGCCTCCATGACTTCGACCACTTCCACTCCCTCGCTATCCGAGGTGACATGGCCGATCAGATTGTGCAGATCTTGACCCAGGACCACGGCATGGAGTTGGTGTGCTGCTTTGGCAACACCAGCTGGGACCGAAGCCTTTTGCTCTTCAAGGCAAAAACAGACCACAGAGACTCAGCTGATCCCTGAATCGCTGATCGAGGAAGGGAATGGAAGGAGCCAATTAAGAGTCTGGAGACAGTGAGACAGGAGGAAGGGGAGCCTGGAAAAAAGAGTGGAAGGGTTTTACCTTGAGAATTACGATGGTTGAGTTCACTCTCCTTGGCTTGTTAACAGTTAGGCAGCCTCCACGATCTGGTAGGACCTTTTGGCAAAATGTCCAAGGCATGCACTCCTGAGACCTGGTAACCCCTGGTGGGGCAAGGAGCTGGGCTCTCTGGATTGACATGATAGAAGGCCTGGGCTTGGGGGTTAGTTTAAAGACCCCCTTAGAATGTACCACTTCCCTGGGACCCGGGAATTTGAGCAGGCCACCCAGCAGAACCTGCTGATGATGTCATCCGGCATGAAGAGTTGCTAGCCTGCGAAAGGAAGGGATCAGTAGGAAACGTGTCTTTACAGACTAGTAGGTCAGATCTCCAAATTACACCTACTGGCATTTAAAAGATGCTTTCAGATCTAAATCATGAACCCAGCATCCAAGTGGTACAAAGGAATAAGGTGGGACTATATGTAACTGATGAAATTGTATGTAAAATGTAATAAAATGACTTGAGTGTTGGCGACTGCACCTTGAGTCTGGGATAAGAAAAACCAGTGTTTGTCCATTCTGTCCACTCGGGAGGCTCACAGTCCGTCCCCAGGCAGTGGACCTTACACGCAGTCACCACCTGACTGCCACCACCTGTCTGGCACTACCCTCAGATAGTTCTTCAAGCCAAACGCCAAACTCGCAGCCATCCGGTCAATTCCAGCTCACAGCGACCTGCGCCTGAGGATGGCTGAGATTGACTTCATGGGAGCAGAAAGACTTGTTTTTCTCCTGCAGAGCAGCTGGTGGTTTCGAACAGTGGCCCTGCCTTTAGCAGTCCAAAGTGTAGCCACTACCCCACCAGGGCTCCTGTTAGGTAGTTCTTAGGTACCTCAAATTGAGTATAACTCAAAAATCAAACTCGTTACCCGCACCTGGAACCTCACCCACCTCAAGTAATGGCATCTACCTCAGTGGAAAGGGCTACTCAGTCCGATAATCCAACTACTAACACAAAAATTCCATTTTGCCATTCATTCGGTTGTGGCATCCAGCAGGGGTTTCTGTGTAAGTCAACTACTCCAGTCTGCCCTGCTGCCCATGTTCTCAGGTATCCAGTTGTGTGAGTAGAAACTACTTTTAAACCCCCAGGACTGCCCTTTATCCAGTGCCTACGCCTGCCTGTTCAAGTCGATGGCCACTTGCTGCGTAGCCATGTCCTGACTGAACACTTCTGCTTAGGACTTCCTGTCCATTCCATGTGCTGTCAGTATCACAAGACATGCTGAAATCATGGGGCTTTTGGGGTGTGTCTTTGTTTCTGTTAGTTTTTGGAGAGAATATGGATTTTAACACACGTGAACTACATACAAGGGAGCTTTACAAACTTCATGGAAAAGTGGAATTAAAAGGCAATGGAGTTTTTCCACATACATTTTCAAGGCCCCCATGTCCCAAGTGGACTCTGGTAGTAGGATTGGCAGCATGAGGCCTGTCTCTTCAGAGCCACACGGTTAGACAGGTCCTCATCAGGCCGTAGCACAGTACACCTGGGATCACAACTTCCCAAAAACCCGAGAGGCTGAATGTGTTAGTGGGTAATATGTGTTATAGGTCGCAAGAGGGTTAAATCAAGGGAAATGAAATAACATTTAGATTACGTTCCTCAGCCATACCAGCCATGTTTCAAGTGCTCACTAAGTGGTGTCAGTCATGGCTACTGTACACAGAACATTTTCATCAGTGCAGAAAGTTTTACCAGCTGGCACTGACCCAAGCCCCGCACCGTGGCCCTCAGGCCTCTCTCCGCTGGGGCAGCCCCACTGAACTCCCCTGCCACTCTCTCAGGCTGGCCGTGCCCTTTCATGCCTCCGGGACTTAACCACAAGCCATTCCTCTGCGGTTCCCGCTCCCTCCAGCTCTCCCCGCCTCGCACCTAGTAGGACTATTTGTCCTAAAAGACTAGGGCTTCCGTTTCCATTTTAGGGGGACATATTTCCCTAACTCTAGTGCTTTGCATTTGCTCACTGTGGTTTTGAGGCAATTTTGCATAGCAACCTCATAGTATTGGCCACTTGTCGTTGTTTACATGCCCCTTTCTCTCCCTCCCACAAGATGGGTTCAAGCCCAGCTTGACCCTTGTACGCTGAGGCCCAACACATGGGATCACAGTGACTGAGAGAATAGGTGAATGAATGCAAGGGAAGTCCACATGCACTCAGGGTCTGAGGACTCACATGATTGAGCTCTGTGATTGGAGGAGTTGGTTCAAACTGCAGACCTCCTGGCTGGCAAGTCAATGTTCACACCTTGGGTCACCAGGAGAGAAAGAGGCTTCAATCTCCCTCGGACCTAACTCCCCTCACACTGGCTAACTTGCCAGCACCCTAACTTCCCCTGAATTCCTCACATTCTGTCCCGCTGGTGGCTTCAACCCTTGGGCAGGGCCTCCTAAAATTGGACTTGAATCTGTCTCATGCTAAGGAGGTAGGAACCCCAGGTTCAACTAGAAGGTGAACCAAGATCCTAGGACAGCTGGATCCTTCTCAGGCCCCCGGGATTGAGTTTGGCCTGCAGACAGTGCAGCAGGAAGGCTCCCCGGCTTGGAGCTAAGATCTACAAGTAACTCATTGTATGACTACCTTGCTTAAGCCATGTAACCTCTCTAAGCCTCCGTTTACTCCTCTGTCTAACTGAACTAAGAAGACCTTGCTTTTCCTGTGCCCAGATAGGCCAGAAGGTGGGAAGGTCCTTTGTAGAAAATGAAACACAAACAAGGTGTCATTGTACTGGAAGTGTGCCACAGATCATGCTCAGGCTGCCCAAGACCACAACTATGCTCGTTAAACTGAAGTCCTAAGGAAAACAACTCACCTGGTAGAACACGGGCATCTGACTCTCTCTAACAATTTGGTTTTTAGGGAGAAGTGCTTCTGCCCTGCAGAGCGTTTCAAAGGAAGCCACGTTGGGAGGGTGTGATTGCCACCCAGGGCCTGGAGAACCAGTCTAAGGGTCGCACGGTGAGGACAGGGCTTACCCAGCTGAATCTACCTCCTCTGCAGCTCAGTCATTTCAGAGCACTTTGAAACAAAAGCAAAGGGACCCTGCTGGGTGCTCTCACCCACCACCCTTGACCAAGGTAGCACAGAGGAATGTCGGAAAGGGCTGTGGTAGGCTGAATAACGCCCCCAAAGCTGTCTACCTTGTAATCCCCAGAACCTGTGCCTATTAGCCTTAGATGGCAAAAAGGACTTGGACAATGTGTTCTGTGATAGATTTTTGAGACGAGGAGATTAACCTAGATTATCTACATGTAACTCTAACAGTCTCAATGAGAGGAAGGCCGAGAGAGATCTGACTACAGTAGGAGATGACACAGGAGCAAGTGCTGGAGTAATGTGAGGAAGGGCTGCAAGCCAAGAAGTGGAGGCAATAAAACGGGCTCTCCTCTGAAGCTTCCAGAAGGAGCACAGCTCTGTCTCAACACCTTGATTTTAGATTTCTGATCTCTAGAACGATAAGAATAACTGTGTTATTTCCAGCCACTTCATTTGTAGTGACGTGTCCCACTGGCAAGAATAGAGGCAGTCTGATTACGGGGACACTGGGGTAAAAGGCCAAGGAGCATCTGTCCCAGCAGCTCCTTAGTGGCAGAGAATGGCCCCAGGCGTCAAAGGAGGAGGCAGAGGCTCCATCCGTACCTGGTTAATGGAGGAATCCGTCTACCAAAAGCTCTGAAAGATGCTCCCGCATTTGAACCTGATCCGTTTCCTAGTGTCATTCTATTGGTGAGCTGTTCCATGAGCTGTCAGGTGGAACCGCTTTATGTCAAGTCTGTGGCAGTGAGCTTCAGAGAAGAGGTGTGATTAGCGCTCATCAAGATGAGACGGAAGTGCCAAGAAGGTGCGACTGCACATGGCCTGTGGGAGCCGTGGAGACAGACTACCTCTGGCTGCAAGAGAAGATCATCTAATTCACCCGCCAGTGGGCCTCACGGAGGAGCCGTCACCAAGCACGATGAGACTTCTGAAAGGACAAGAAAGAGAGCATGAGCTTGGATGTACCTTTGAAATTGGAAAAAAAAAATATATATATATATATATTAATAAATTCTTATTAAAAATATTAGCATCTCACCATACAGTCATTATAAAATTATTTATACGCTAATTTTAAACCGTCTTAAAACTCTAATATGCATTTTTTTTTAATGTATCTTATACTTATCAAGCCAAACTCACTGCCATGGTGTCAATGTCAATTCATAGAGACCTTTAGGATAAGGTAAAACTGCCCTTGTGGGTTTCTGCGAGGAGAAGGCTCCATCTTTTCCCCGAGGAGAGGCTAATGGTTTCAAACTGCTGACCTTACAGGTAGCAGCCCAGCTCGTATCCACTACACCACGAGGACTCCTCTCGTAACACTTACAGCTCATCTCAATTTGGACAACTGCTCTGCAGATGTTCATTGGCCACTTAGCCACTTTTTATGGCACATGAAGAAATCGTTCTCAGGTTCCTTCCATATATATCCAGCATGCTTTTAGCTGCTCCACAGGCATGGGGAAACACAGTTGATACAACCCAAAGGTGGCTTGAAACAGCTCCCAAAGATTATATTTGATTTATTCAGTACATCAAAGTGGATGAGAGAAGGACAGGCACACAGAAGGGTGCATGCCGTCATGTGAGCTTCAGAAAAGGGAACTGTTTTTGTGGTCTAGAATGGGCCTGGAAGACGGTCTACAGGATGTGGGTCTTGAGCTGCCTCTGACTGAGAATGTAGCATTTGTAATACAGACAAGAGGGAAAGAAGCATTCCCAAGGGGCGTGGAGGAAGGACCCTCCAGGGAAGGACATTGGGGAATGTGTTCCTCACTGGGGACAGAGAGCCCCGGTGGAGCAGTGGTTATGAGTTGTCTGTGTTTCAAATGGTTGGCAGTTCGAAGCAGCTGATCCAAGAGAGAAAGAGGCGGCTTTCTACCCTTGAAAACAGTTGTAGTGTCGGAAACACAGAGGCAGTCAGTTCCCCCCTGTCCTACAGGCTCACTGTGAGTCAGCATTGCCCTCAATGGCAAGAGAGCATTTTTGGTTGGTTGGTTGGTTTTCATTGGGGACAGAGGAGACGGACTGGTCTAGAATAGACATGTCTGGGTGTAGCAGTGAGGAGTGATAATAGTAGTCTCCCTTGCTATTTAACTCAGTTCTTGATGGAACAGCTGAAGGTAGAAAGCAAACATACTAGAGAAAACATGTCATTGTAAAAACAAGAGTATTTTCTAAAGAATAATTCAAAAGACTACAAAGGAAATGATCAATGAATTTGACTAGAAAAGGCAGAGAAAAGAAACCAAAATCCAATAAAGTCATATGACAAAGTATCAACCTGAAAATTTTCTTGCAAGACATGTGACAAATGAAGGCTAATTTCATCATAATACAAACGATTTTTTTTTAAAAATCATTTTATTGGGGGCTCTTACAGATCTTATCACAATTCATATATATATATGTCCATTGTGTCAAGCACA